GAGACTATTATCAATAACATTTATTATTTTGTGTAATGTTTTATTTTTCTACCTTGGTTTTTTGTTGCCTTGTTATTAGTTTTAATCGTTATTATGAAATATTTAAAGGTGTTGGACCATACTTCTTATTAGGAAAATGGACAATTTGTGGGAACTGTCGTTCATGTTTTCAGTAATGAAGAACAAGATTTGCTACAAATTTCACTTGATTCATCTTTTGACGTGCTTGATAAAAATGGCAAGCCAAAGCCAGAAGAAATTGATGCATCTGGTCAGCTTGTTTTGGTGCCTTTTGTTGAAGCGATTGTTCCAGATGTTGATATGAATAGTAGAGAAATGCATATTACACCTCCCAAGGGACTTCTGGAATTAAACTTACAATTTGATGATAGGTCCAAAAGAGAAAGGCGCCAACTTGTAAGCCAGATTCTCCTATTACATTGTGGCCTTTACGAATTTTCATTGTCAGTATGTTTGAAGTTTTGTGCTTATTCCTGATTCCCTGGTATCTGGCTTTTTTCTCCTTCATAGTAAAGCACAATGTTCCCAAAACTCAATCCCAAAGATATTTTCTTGAAGACACTTGTCTGAATTGTCCGACATGTGTCGTATCATACAACACATGTGAGTTTTGGACACCGCGGCAGGCCTTATCTTATGCGTCAATGGTGCTGCTATTCATCCCAATGACTGCATTTGTATTATTTGGATTCTAAATTTTCTTATGAATGGTTTCTCTGCTGTGATGTCTATGTTTGATTGGGTGTTTTTCACCATGTATAATTGATTCAAATTCTTAAATAGTTACGAATAATAATTTTTTTGTTGATAATTTTAAGGGTTGGAAAGAAAAGAAAAAGTTCCAAAAGCGTCTCATAGCAGCAAAAAAGAAACTTGGTGAAATGGATCAGCGACATGTATTTCATGGATTTCAATGCGGAGAGAAAGAACAATGGAACTTGCTTAGTGATCAGATTGTTGGCGTAAACTACAGATTGCTTCAGGATGTCTTACAAAGCCTTGAACAACCATCCAAGAGGCAAGTAAATATAATAACTATAACATCCGAGGTTTTTTTCCCCACTGAGTAGGGTCCACAACACGAATCAAACAATGTTGTTGTGTTCTATCCAAAACAAATTGTTTAACAAAGCCGCTTATTATGTTTTTTGGTCTACCCATACATCTAATTATTGAGTTATCCTAATTTGATAAACTCTTTCTAATTGGAGATTCTATTAGTCCTCTCGTCACATGCCCAAACCATCTCATGCACAATCTTACAAACTTCTCCCCAACTGAGCCTCATATGCAAACAAATTATTGAGTAAGAGCATCTTTAGTGGAAGTATCTTAAGTGGGTAAACTAAGATATTTTTTGTGGGTCCAAAGTGATTTGTAGGATTTAGAAAATTTATAGTTGATTTGAGTTGTTTTTACTTTAATGATAGTTGCTTATAAAAAACTAAAACTTGATCCTATATTTTATATTTGGGTAATGTTAACTTGTGCCCTTGGGGCACATGTTAAGAACTAAATTAAGAAACATTGTCTTGGAAATTGTGTATAAACTTTAATTAAAGTATAAAATTAATTTTTAAATCGTTTTTTCCAATGCAAATTTACTATAAGTGGTTTTCTTAACATGTGCCCCAAGGGCACAAGTTAACATTACCCTTTATATTTTTTAATTGTAATTATTTTTTTATTGAAGTTACCATTAATTTAATTATATGTTTTTAAATCCTACAAATCACTTTAGACCCACAAAAAATAAATAGCATACATTAGCTATATAATTGCCGGAAACTAAAAGTTAGTGAATTAAATGCCATGTCATAGCGCTATTCCAATGCAAATTCTTTATAATCATCGTTAACTATACAAAATTTAACTATTAAAAATCTGCATTAAAGATGCTCTAACACCCTTATCTCTCATCCATATAAAAGAAAAAAAAGGAAATTATTTCTATAGTTCATCTTTAACATGTCATATTATACATTTCTATTCTATTTGTATTGACTGTTTATTGAAGTACTAAATTTCAAACAGGATTACTCATCTTTGCCTATACGAAATGATAGGACATGCTAGCATCTTCTAATTTAACTACTCAATTTGTTTCCTTGCTAAATACTGTATTTCTTTTATTTTTTTTCTAGCTTCTGTGTCTGTGTCACCATTACAGACTGTTTTATTGACCAAAGAAAATTTTCTACAACGTGTAAACTTTTATTTGAGTTAATTTTTTTAATCAGTTGGAATGCAGCTGAGGTGGTCAGTGCTGTGCAAGAAAAGCGTATAAGTACTATAAACATATCAGAAAAGTCTTTCGTAACCGGAAGTAAAGACAAATTGGTTAGAGATATCGTCAATATGCAAGAGACGGGACTTGAACTAATTTCTAAGTTACACATATCAGAAAAGTCTTCCTTAAAGGAAGGAAAAGACAAATTGGTTAGAAGTTTCATCAATATGGAAGAGAAGGGACTTGAGCTAATTTCTAAGGGCAAATTGGCTATTGTTTTGCTCTTAAATGAAAAAGAGAATGAGGGATGTGTTTATGATCCTGATGTTGTTGAAAACGAAGCAACTGAAACTTCAACACTACCTGTGTTTCAAAACTTACTACGTGATCACGAAAAATTTGTAAAGGTTGTACAGTTTTGATTTCTTTTTATTTTTGCTAAACATCCTTCTGATGAAAACTCATTGTTGCAAAAATCTAGTTGCCCCATTAGACGGATTTTATATTATAAGTTAATTTTAACCAAACAAGTTTCGGCTAAAAAAAATTCAGAGATCACAAAAAAAAAAATAACCATCTTAATGTTCTGTTCTTCTTGCTCATCTCATTTCCACTATTTTAAAGCGGATGTACTATCTTCTATCTTATGGTTCTTCCTTTTCTACTTTGATGATATTTCTAATTAATCGTGGGTCAAATTAAGATGATTTAAGTTATAAACTGATTTGTGAGGTTTTATCAGTCCCAGTGTCTTTTTGGAGTGATTACTCTACAAGATTATATGAAAAAGCTTGTGATCATCTAATGCATTTTCCTCTTTTACAGGTCAAAGATCGCACATCTGTGCCTTTAATTTTGATTTCCTCCGCCCAACAAATTCAGTCTGTAAGAAATCTGTTTGCCAGAAACAATCACTTTGCATTTGACTCTGAAAAGGTTACATAATGACAACAATCTTTCTTGTATTTTGTATTAAGTTGGTTAGAGTAGATGTAAATTAAAATTTGTCGGTGTCATATGTATCTTGCAGGTATTCTTTTTGGAGGAAGAGAAGCTTCCAGTTGTCAGGAGTTCGCCAGAAGGACAGAACAAATACAAGATTTTAATGAAGTCGCCTTGGGAAATACTCCAGTCTCCCGTTGGACCAGGAGGATTTATTAGCTTGTTTTCAAAACACAACATTGCTGATAATCTTATTAATATGGGCGTTGAGTACGTCGAGGTTAGATTATCTTTTCCCCTACTTAGAGGTCAATGCTGATTTTGTATTTACTCGTTAAGATTCATTTGTGTTGTGCATTTTTGCAGTTATGCTGTCCATGTAAAACAACTGTTGGTGGAAACTCATTTCTTCTTGGGTTGGTTAATTCGCGTGAAGCCAAAATTGGGATACAGATTTCACCTACAATAGCCGATCCAGATGAAAATTTTGACATGATATTGTCTATGGATTTTGTAAAGAAGCTAACGAAGCAGAGCAACAAACTTCAATTTGATGCAATCCCAAAGACAAATTCCTATGTTGAGAATGTTGACAAAGATTGGATAACCGTTACCTCGTCCACCCCGAACTCATATGATCTGTCTTGTAGTGTATATAGTTCCTTAAATGCATGTCCATTGGATAAGGTTTGTATAGTGGAGGTTAGAGAATAATGCCATAAACTATATTTAGTGATGATATATGAGATAATGCTTCAGAATTACCCAGGTAGAGTAAAAAGCTATGCATGCATATGGTATTTGATTTTCTTTTAAATCCACGGAATTATAAGTTATACGAGGGAGGAACTTAACCATATTTCATGGAAGGGAATTTTTAGTAGAATATAAGAGATGGACTTGGTATTCACTCATTGAGACTTTAACCAAATGTCAAGGGTTGATTATAACTTTTAACTTTTTTGGATTTAAGAATGAAACATTAAAAATTAATTTGAACATTAAAATTAACTTCTTGATTTTTAGAAGAACCTCTCCTATTCTTTTGGAGGACAATAACAAATGTTTGGTATAAATCTAATAGCTTCCTACATGACGTCAAAATGGGAACGAGTAACCACTAAACAGCTCCTTGTCTATAATATTCAAAATAAGATTAATCTATTACTAATATTTTTTTTAATAAAAAGGTGTAAAATTACATTTTTTATTTTATTTTTTAATTGTTAATTTATAAATATATTAACTTAAATATAAATAAATATTACCTGTTTAAATGTTCATGACTAAACAAAAGAAAACAAAATTTATAATCTTTTCTAAAAAACTTCTACAAATTCATAATTTTTTTAAAGGAAATTTTTTATAAACTTACTAGTATACTAGTATTAGAAATTGCAACTATGTTACTCATATATATCCCATATTCATTATTAGTAATTAAACTAGTTAGTCAGTTAATTACACCAATTTAGACAGAAAAATGAAAATCTCCACAAATCACAAATTATTTGCTCAAAAGAATCTTTTGATTAAAAAACAGAAAATAAATAAAGAAATAAAAGAACAATTTTTATTTTATTTTGTATATTTATGCAATTCTGTCTCTATCTCTCTGTAGCAGTCTCGCTTTTTCAAAAGAAGAAACTGAATCCTTCACTCTGTTTAGACTTGGGAGCTTACCGTAAGTAGCTAGCGAGCGCGTGAATCCAATTTCTAATTCTTAGATTAATTTCTCATATAACATTGGATCTGCTTTCATATTTCTATCTTCTACTGTTACCGTCAGAATAGAAAATCGCATGCCATGGACGCTTTCAGGAAACAAGCTAGCAAGCTAAGAGACCAAGTTGCCAAACAACAACAGGTTCGGGTTTACGCTTCCCTAACCGAGATTGATAATGCAATCTGATATGCATTTGAAATTGGGGTTGTATGAGTTAGATTTAGGTTCATCAAGATGTGGTGTTTCTGTTTTCTTGAACTGAATTATTGTAACTTTGTTGCGGTAGAGTTTGATGTTTAGATTCAGTTTGTGATCTGAGTTGATGTACTTGTTTTACCAGGCTGTAATTAAACAGTTCAGCGGTAGCGGTTACGAGAGCTCAGATGTTGTGGTTATTGATGAGGTTGAATTGCAGAGACATCAACATATGGAGAAGTTGTACAGAGCTACTCGTGCCGGCAGGGTATACATTTTCTGTTCTTTTCTAGATTAATCATTAGCTTGCTGGTTATACTAGTAACTTGTAAGCATATTGACATGCTCAAAACTATCATCTGATCCAGGATTTCCAAAAAGAAATTGTTAAAGCCGCAGAAACATTTACAGCTATAAGTTATAAGCATATTGAAACAGGTGAACACTAGTTTTTGTTTGTTTTTCCTGCAAATTCAGTTTACTTTGATGAGTCGTTTCAGCATGTGTTGGAATTAGAAACTGTACAGTTTTGTTTATTTACTAGTGATTTGTGAGTAAATCCTCATTAACAATAGTTATGGTAGACAGGAACAAAACTTTCTGAGGAGTGCTGTAGATATGGAGCAGAGAACAACAGTGACAACATATTGGCTAAGGCAGCATCAGTTTATGGAGATGCTCGCAAACATGTGGAAAAGGAGCATGAAGAATTGAATCGGCTTTTATCTTCCCAGGTCAACTTTTCATATGTTGTGTTGGTCTATAAGTTTTAATGGAAGTTCAACATGTGATATGTTAGAATTGTCAAATTGCTTTTGCAAAAAAGATTACTATGCCAGGTTAAATTATACCAACATCTGTTAAGCTTTTGAAATATCGTAGTGATCTCTTACTTTGAAAACCTATATGGTCCCCCGTTTTTAATTCTTATTGAACATACATAATTACATACCCTTCTCGACACTCTTCTGCACATGTTCAAATATATGTCATGGATATTTATTTGTTTTGATACCTTAGGAAGCCTTTTTGATATATGAAATCCTTGAGGGAGGTAATCTACTATTCACATTATTGTCAAATTAGAGGAGAGAAGCATGAATCAAATGGTTTCAGTTTCCAGGTTTTGGATCCTTTGAGACAAATGATCATCGGCCCACCTTTGGAGGATGCTCGTCATCTTGCTCAGCGGTATAGTCGGATGAGACAAGAAGCAGAGACACTAGTAAGTTATTGTTTGGACTGAATTTGCAATCTCCATACTTAAATCAAGCCGTAATTTGATACAATTTGTAAGTTATTGTTTGGACTGAATTTGCAATCTCCATACTTAAATCAAGCCGTAATTTGATACAATTTGATTCCGTATCTCATGTATGGAACGAACAGTGAAATTTTAAATTCATATTAACTTTGTTGCATTTTAAAACTGGAAAAGCTGAAACAAATATCTTTTTCTAAAAGGAGATAGGGGGAGGGAATTTATTTGAATCACTTAATTGTTTGGAGTTTTTATTTCTTCTGAATCTTATTAGTCAAATTGCTTTTCAAAATTCATTTAGAGAGAGGAGATTTCTCGAAGACAAGCACGGGTCAGAGAATCTCAAACTGCTGAGCATGTTGCCAAACTGCATGCTGCAGAAGCTAAGATGCAGGAGCTGAAAGTCAACATGGCAGTTCTAGGTAAAGAAGCTTCAGCTGCATTGGCTGCTGTTGATGCACAACAACAGAGACTGACTTTCCAAAGGCTTGTTGCTATGGTATGATAGTACGTGATTGCTATTACATCAACCTATGCCAAACATGAAATTAGTTTGGACTTTTATTTTAATGATGTTGCTTATGATTTTTAGGTCGAATCAGAGAAGACTTTTCATTCAAGAGTTGCAGCTATTTTTGGTGAAATTGAAACTGAGGTGAAAACTAACCATCCTGATATTGAGTTTTTTTATAATGATCTATTATATATTTTTCTTTTTGTTTGATTTTATTTCTATGTTTGTAAACATTTGGAGCTTTCTCTCAGATTGTCTCTGATAGACAGAAGAAAGAATCAGCCCCTCCAGCCGTTCTGTTCCAGAACGGCTCAGAGAAAACAATGTACTTCTTGGCTGAGGTATGCTGCATTTATCTAAACCTAAGATGATGATTACTATTGTTATTGTTATGTGGTTGCTGTTGTTATTATTGTTGTTACAGCGATTGTTTTTGTTGTTGACGATGGTGCTCATTTTCGTTATCATATCATATGCGACATTATTATTAAGGTCATGATCATGATTATGATCATCCAAATCCTTATCATCAACTGATTAACTTATCTCCTTTGTATTTTTACTTGCTTAGTTTGTCTAGATCCGACTGATTAATTTCACTCCTTTGTTTTCTGGAATCACATGGTTCTGACAATGTGAATCAGGCCTTGTATGAACAATAACCCGTGTAATTATTTTCTTCATCAACTGATCTTTGGTGCAATCTTTTGCAGGCAGTGCATCCTTATGATGCTGAATCAGAAAAGGAACTGAGCTTTTCAAAGGGCGACTTTATTGTCGTGAGGAAGGTGTATTTTCATCTCATTATCCTATTTATTTATACTTTTTTATATACAAAATTCCTCAAATAGGCCAGGAGATTGAAAAGGAAAGGATTGGCACTTTGTTTGGAAACATTTTGTTAGACTCTTCAATTTTGTAACCTACATTAAATTATTAGGAGATATTAAATTATTAGGAGAGTTAGTTGGTATTGGTAATTATTAGAATTATTAAGAGTGTTTAGGTTTAGAATAAATTAATTAAGAGTGTTTAGGTTTAGAATAAATGGAATTGGATAGGAAAAGGAGCCATTTTGGCATTGGGAGGTGCAGACCTTCGAAGTTCTGCGGTACTATTCTGTAATTTAAAGGGATGTTTCCTATTTTCTTTTATATATCAGTTGGTCTCTATTACATTTCTATTTAGATGGCTTTTAAGTTGGTTACTTTGATATCTATGAATGAGATTATGTGGTAAGGAGAGTAAATCAGATGAAGAGGAGTCAAACAACTCGAGATAGAGGAAGACCTAGAAAAATGATAAGAGAAGTTATTAAGAAAGACTTCGAGATTAACGATTTGGATAAAAGCATGGTTCTGGGTAAAACATTATGGTGGAAGTTGATCTATGTAGCAGACCCCACTTAGTGGATAAAGCTTAGTTGTTATTGTTGTTGTACTTTGATATCAAGGAGAATGCCCACAAATCTAGGTCCAGAACCGCCAAAATAATAGTAGTATTGTGTGGTGAAAATTGTTACCTTAGCAGGAATGCCCTTTTTGAAGACTTGTTCCGGTAGATAACTAATTGTATAGCTGAGAAGTTTGATTGAATTGCTGAGGACAATGTTCTCTTGAGAAATTAATGAAAAGAGAAAAGCATGAAGACATATTAAGACCCCTTTGTGGTGTGGATAATCATATCCGAATTCCAATAAACTACTATTAATCCACCATTTATAATTGTGAGCCATAAGTTTTCCATTTCTAAATCGGAGTTCTATTCTCTTGTGTACTCAAATTTATCATGCATTTCAAATGATGGTCATCCATGCTTGCAAATGTATTTTGAGTCTTTTCCTGTCTTGAATTGCCATGTTCTATAAAACCCGACCTCTTGTGCAATCGGGAAAAATGAATATCTTGTCTGTTGCCACCATTTGTTGCTTCTACCACTCATAAATAATGAAATTTAGTTGATGAATTGGATTTGGTCTTACACTCTTTCTGGGTCTCTATGTTTACCGAAATTCTAAAATGTTACACAGGTGAGCCAAACTGGTTGGTCAGAAGGAGAATGCAACGGTAAAGGAGGGTGGTTTCCTTCTGGCTACGTGGAAAAACGACAGAGAATCCCCTCTAGCAACATGGCTGGTGAAGTTTACTAGTTTCTTCTCCTCTTGTCCCAGTCATTCTTTGCTTTGTCACATGCACTATTTTATCTTATATTTTGTAATTGATTGAAATAGATGCGTCATTTTTCCATGTTTTATGGTAATGCCTGTTGGTTGAATGAAGAATTAATAGGATTTGGATTTTGAAGTCACATGCTTTATGGTAATGCCTATTGATGTTTCATTTGTGTCCAAACAATTTTCATTTGGATTTGCATCCATATAACACTTGCACTAATATATAACAGTTCGATTTGTCTGCATGCATAGTTGAAAAAAATAATTTGGATTTGCGCCCATATAAGACTTGCAATGTATATAGAGATTTTACGCATTCATCATTAGGGTGGCAAAACGGGCCGTGGTCTGTCGGACCGGTCTACGCACCTGTCAAAAAATGACAGGTTGGGTTGGGATTTTGAGCCCACCGTCCACCAAAATCCGTTCTGTTAAAGACCGCCACCCGCAAAGTCTGCCGTCTGCAAAAATCCGCCGCACCTATTTGTTTAATTTGTTACACTTTAAACCCACTATTTTTTAGTTAAGTCTAGTAATTTCAATTCTTTATGGTTTTATTTTATACATTTATTTAAAAATATATAAAATATTTTTTGAAGTAAAATTTGTTAAAGAGATGCTTTATGAAAATTGTTCTATTAAATAAGTGAAAAATCTAATTGAAATGTATAACCAAACTTATTAATCTATTAAAAAAAAAATAGGCGTGCAAGCCTGCCGTCCGCCAACCCGCCACTTTGGCGGAGCGAATTAGATTTTCATGCCCATTTTCATTTGACAGGTTTGTTTGCCCCGCCTTTTTTTACGAGTTTAAGACGAAATAAAATAGAGCGGGACGGACGATCCGTTTTGACACCCCTATTCATCATTTGTAACGTATTTCATCTCAAGTTTACATTTGTATTTTATCATTTTTTTTTTCAAACTTACTTTTGGAAGCAAGTTTTCTTTTTTTTTTTAAGAGTTTAATTACGTATATCTTTATATATGTTCAATTATAATTTTTTTTTGTCAAACTTACTTTTGAAAGCAAGTTTGTTTTTTTTAAAGAATTTAATTACTATATCTTTATGTATATTAAATTATATTTATCAAATCAAATATGAGAAAAATCTAATACTTGGAGCAATTGAACGTGTGTGTGAATATGACAGTATGCCTGCCTGCAAATTGTGAATTTTGAATCAAATTGAATACCGTTAACTTAACATATTATTTGTTTTTAATTTTCCAATAACTCAATATGATATATACTAGGGTGGAAGCGATATCCCTACACATGGGAATTTTTTATATTTAAATTAAAATATTTTATATTTGACGTAAAGTTTGGAATTCTTTTTCGAACACAAAAAATAGAACACGTGAAAATAAAAGATATTTATCGTAAATTTAAAATAAAGTTCAATAAATTTAGCAAGAGAAGGGCTAATAAGAAGAAGAATAACAATTGTTTCATAATATCACTTTAAATAATTTCATTTATCATTAAAGTCATTAAAATAGACTATAGTTTATATGGATTTGATGAATATTTATTCAATTGTTATTGGATGGATAAAATAATGCATTAGTTTATTAATAATTTATTAAATTTTAAAAGAAAAATATCACATTCGTCCATTAAAAATAAAATTTTTTCAATCCATCAATTAACATATTTTTAATTGATGTATACCTTCCATCTAAAAAATTATTTTAAATATTTTAATTAATTTTTTAATAATTCATATAACACTATATTAAATTTTATAAAAATCATTTCTTTTAATTTTATAAAAATAATTATTTTATTTTAAATTTTGTCTATTTTTTATACCACCACTCTACAAATCTAAAAAATTACCATTAAGCTTTAAAATACAACATCTTAAATTTTACAAAAATATAGTCAAATAATAAATAATACTGCTTTTTTATCGCAACGGTTCCATAATTACTGAAACACACACGTCAAATATTATTTATTATTCTAAATATTTTTTAAAATTAAAACATTAAACACAAAACAAATTCAAAATTTCATGTTTGAGGTGAGAATTCATTTGGTTCGTACAAATAAATTCCAATACGACTAAACTAACTGTCTTTATGTGAAGGAATTTTACATATATTGGAATTAATTAAAAGCTCAATCCCATAAGAAAAGAAAAAAGAAGTAATAAGTTCTATGTTCCAAAAACTTTCCATTAACGTTAAAAAGAAATTACTACCGTACTCTAAGGCTTTAGCTCAACGTCACTACCATTAATATTTTTCTTAAATTTGTTTTGAAACAATTTATATTTTATAAAATTTAGTTATAAAATTTTGTTAGAGGGTAATTTAGTATTTTAATATGTTGTCTATGTGATTTTAGTTTTTCTGTGTATAAATTAGTGGTAGATGTCATTTATTGTAATTCTTCCTTACAATTTTGTAGTCGTCACTTTGCAGAATATAATTCTCTCATTCTATTCATCTCTTTTCACTTTGTGCATCAACAATTGGTATTTAGAACTCCGGTTCGGATCCACGGGAAATCACGGGAAACACGAGTGAAACGGTGAGGCGTTGTGTGGTTGATTTCGTTTCTTGAATTCGTGTTGAATCTTGAACGGAATCGTAAAAGAATCACATTTTCTGATTCTGCGGGATTGAGAAACACTGTGTTTGGTGAGATCTGAGTGATTGCACAAGGTTGAAGATGAACAGAAGCGGTGGTCTGAGCACCGAGCTTCCAGTGTTTGATGAAAAAAAACTGGACTCGTTGGATGATTTAGATGCGTGTATTGTTCGATGTTCAAGATGTGCTAGATCTTGTCACTGATCTACATCCATCAGTGTATGAATGCAAATGTTCTACATCCATCAGTGTATGAATGCAAATGTGTTTGAGAAAATCGTTGATTCAAGGACGACGAAGGCTGCGTAGGATACACTGGTCAGGTGCTATGGTGGTGACGCATCAGAGAAGAAGGTGAAACTTCAGTCCCTACGAAAGCAGTATGAGAATCTCACATGAAGAACAATGAGAAGGTATCTGAGTACACCTCTAGAGTGATTCTGATCACTAATGAGACGAAATTTTGTGGAGAAACTCTTTCTAAACAAGTAATCATTGAGAAGGTATTGAGATCCCTTATCTCTCAGTTTGATTACATTGTGGTAGCAATAGAACATTCTAAAGATCTGAGCACCATGGGAATTGAAGATTTGCAAAGTAGTATAGAGGCACAAGAGTTGCGTCTGACTGAGAGAACTTCTGAAAGGGAAGTAGAGCAGCAGGCTCTGAAAACAGTTTCTGGTAAGAAGCATCAGAAATAGTCTTGGTCAGAAGTCAGGAGAAGATCTGATGGTGTTCAGAAGTCAGAAACATCAACTTCTGATAGGTAGAAGAATGCTCAGAAGGGAAAATAGAGGTATCACAAGAAGAAGATCCAGTGCTATTGTTGTAAGAAGTTTGACCATTTTGATGCTAATTGTTGGTCAAACAAGGAAAGAAAGTTAGAAGAAGCAAATATAGCTAGAATTTCTGATGATGAATCTATGTTATTGATGGCTTCTGAATCTGATGATACGGATTTGACAGACTGGTGGTATATGGACACCGGCTGCTCAAATCATCTTACTGGAAATAAGAAATAGCTGGTTGACTTTGACTCTGGTAAGAGGACAAAAATCAGATGTGCTGATGATAAATACTTCAACGCTGAAGGTATGAGAAATGTCAGAGTCGTTTTGAACAATGGGAAAACAACATTGATTTAAAAAGTGTGGTATGTACCTGGCATGAAAAGCAATCTGATGAGTGTGGGGCAACTAATTGAGAAAGGTTTTTCAATTACCATGAAGGACAATCTTCTGAAGCTATATGACTGTAATCAGAAGCTGAATATGGAGCCAGAATAGGGAAAGAATGGAACATTCAAGGTGAATGTAAGAACTGCAGACTTTGAATGTCTTAGTGCAACAAGTGTTGTGAAGGAAAGTGACCTGTGGCACATAAGATTTGGTCATCTGAATTTCAGAAGCTTAGAGCGTCTGAATTTGAAGAAGATGGTATATGAAATTCCTACAATTAAGAAGCCTGAGAAGTCATCCAAAGTGTGCATGGAAGGAAATCAACCAAGATTGCCATTTGCGTCAGAAGTAGCTCCACGAGCAAAGCATGCCTTGGGAGTAGTGCATTATGATGTGCGTGGTCCATTTCCAATAGCATCGGTTGGAGGAAATAAATACTTCATGTCATTTGTTTATGAACTCACAAGAATGACATGGGTATCCCTTATAAAGATCAAACACGAGGTATTTGCTGAATTCAAGAAGTTCAGAATGAAGGCTGAGAATTAGAGTGGTTAGAATCTGAAGTTTTTTAGAACCAATGGTGGAGGTGAGTATAACTGCACTGAGTTCAGAAAGTTCTGTGAGGAGAATGGAATTGAGCATGAGGTTACTGCTTCTTATACTACTCAACACAATGGTCTTGCTGAGAGAAGAAATCATACTTTACTTGATATGACGAGAAGCATGCTGAAGGAGAAGAAGCTTCCTCATGCCTTATGGGGAGAAACTGTTGCCACCACAACATATGTGCTCAACAGATGTCCAACGAAGAAGCTGAAGGAAATAGTTCCTATTCAGAAGTGGACTGGAGATAAGCAAAGTGTTAGCCACCTGAAGGTATTTGGTTTTGTATGTTACAAACATGTTCCAGAAGCCAGAAGACAGAAGTTGGATGATGGAAGCAAAGTAATGTTACTAGTGGGGTACTACGGTACAGGTGCTTACAAGCTCTATTATTCAGAAACTAATAAAGTTGAATTCAGTAGAGACGTCATTGTAAAGGAATCAAAAACTTGGGATTAGAACAAGTCTCAATCGAACTCTGATGTGAGAACTTCTGAAGAATGTTCAGAATTAGAAGTTTCTGAAGATGAGTCAGAAACTGGAGAAGATTCTGAAGCTGGAGTAGACTCTGGTGGTGATTCTGACTC